TGAACATTTAGTCAGGGCTTCAACAAGAACAGGAGCAGGCTAAGCAATTCTTTGCATCAGATGCAGAACTGGCAAGCAGCTACAGACAGTGGAAGCTTCAACTCAGAACTCTCCAGCAAAAAGCAGGGCTGAGAAAGAAGAAATGACCACATCAGACTTACTTAAGAGACCCTGACAGCTTTGGTTGCTGAAGAAGTTTATCTGCATGGTTCAATGCCATAAGGTTATCACCCAAAGCCAGAGCTACGTAAGCACTACATGCAAGTATTGAGCACCTGGAGGGAAAAAAGAAAAGAAAATAAAAAAATTAAACAAGGGAGGGAAAGGGGAAAGCCAATGTTAAATGGAGAGTTCTGTGATTCCAAATGCAGTTGTTAAATTTCTTTCTTGTTAAATGCTGAGGAAATAAATCATAAACTTTCAATGTCTTTGCATCAGACTATGAAGTAAAGGAGCTAGTGTTTCATTATCTATGGCCTCAATTGTATTCTCTGAATTAGGTAGATGTATATATACATTATGTTCTACCAATATAAATGAAGGACCACCATGGTGCGCTCAGTAAAATTTTGCAATTTTGGCCATAAAAAATGTATTAAAAAAAGATGGACCTCACCACGTGTCATTTTTCTCATGGACAGTCTCCCTTTCTCACCTTCTTTTCATTCTTTTTGTCTTGCATTCTCATTTGTACTTCCCTGCTCTATCATTCTGCTGCAGAAAAGGGTAGCAGATGTGTAGATTTCTATAACATACAATCTACAAGCACATAGTAGCAATCAGTTAAGGTGTAACATATTTCACTCTTATATTGTGCAGTGTTTGCTCACAGGGAGACAAACAATGCAGAATTTAGCATTTCCAGTTTTGTTTTGAGAGCTGTAATCTACTGCCAAGGCTGATCGGTATGTGGCATTTTGTTACTGTCACAGACTTTATCTTTCCAAAACCACAAAATCTGTCAGTTCCTGTAAGAAAATCTGAACTACTCGCATTTTTCATCTTCAAACAATAACCCCATGTCAGGATGCCATCCATCATTAGGCCAGGCTGTAATAACTTCCCCCCCAAACACAGCACTTGGGGCTATTTTCCACTTCATAAGACATCATTCAGTGCAGGCTGCCTTGTCCTCTGGGCACAAGCCTCTGCCCACAACGCCTTGCTGTGAGCACAGACTCTGTCCTTCTCCAAAGAGGA